CTGGAGTGCCGTATTGTTCAAGGCTGCAAATTTTTTAAGCAATTCTTGTTATAATCCCGTTTCACCTGCCCATTCGAGATTCAAGACTCAAACTCTATTATAATAATAATAGTGTTTACCTAGTAGTTAAACTTACTGCATAATAACTTAGATTGGAGCTCTATACTTTCCATTATTATATGTTTTATTTAATCTAAGACTTTCAACAGCAGCATGCTAACCTACATATTGCGATACTATTTGTATTGTAAATCAGCAACCTGATTGGGGATTATGATTGACGGACCGAGATTTCACAATTCGTCTGCGCCGTTTATTAATTTGGTTGATATAATAAAACGTTGAAAAAAAAAATAACGACCTTATGTCAATAAAGTGACTACAATATTATGCATTAATATTTTTCTACTCAATTGGTTAGGTATACTAAAAGCATTGTTGTTATTAATTATTATTATTACAATTATTATTTGTAACGATTAATGAGTATATAAACTGAATACAATAATCATATTAACGTGTTGTTCGGATGAGAATTACACATACCAACATACAACTATCTCGTCACCGAATATTCAATTAAACGTTAAACTGTAATAATGATTTGATTTTGCAATATGTGCATAGCGGCACAAGCTGCGTAGATTTTCCTATTCTACGTATATCACGATTTCACCACAGAGTGACATTTCAAAAATAATCATTTTGCGCCAAAATCATTACTAAGGCACGTATCCGTAATTCCGACAATCGAATAATATAAACAATTTTCCAAGCCGTTATTGGATGGCACATGCTGTATGCAAGTGTGCTTTTGTGTGTGTATGTCAGTATCATTACATATCATATGTGTGTACTGTGTAGTATACCTATACTTATTATAGGTTAACTTAGGTTAGACCATCTCTGCATAGAACAGAAATATGCGTTTACGTGGTAACATTACGAGTATGTTCGAATTTCTTATAAATGTAAATTAACGAAAATCAAATAAATGGTTTGTTGGTATCAATGACTTTAAAATATACAATATAAAAAAAATATAAAAATTTTTAATATAAAATAAAATGTTCTTATTAATTAAATTATTTGGTAGGTACCTTCTAAAGTTAAAAAAATTACAATAATATATTTCGGTAAACTGTTTTTAGAAGATTGTCGATTATCTGCTTAAATATGTTTACATAAAATATACCTTAATCATACATTCTTATTACTGACACGTATTTTATAAAAACATAATTATTTATTTTACCAATAAAACATTAACATGATAAATTAGGTTACTGTGAGTACACATAGGTATATTAAATTTATATTCAGCACGAATTATATACATTTTAAAAATTCTAGGTAAAAAAGCAAAATTTAGTTTATTTAATTTTTATGAAAATTAAATTAAATACATCTGTTTATTATAATAATATTATCTTTCATAAAAATATAATATATATATAATATATATATATGTATTTAAAAAGCACATGCTTTTAAAATTAAAGCCTTATTAATAAATAATAAAGTGCAGTTTATATTTAAATATTGAAATTAAATCCAAACGAGCATTGGATTAAGAATTTTAATCTAGAAATTTAAAAAAAAGTAAAATGCAGAATAGAAATATGTATTGATTGTATTGTACCTATAGTAATTAATTTTATGGATCAAAGCACGCGATATAATGTTCGTCCAAGTAAAATATTTTTCTAGTTGAATTTCAACGGAATGAAATATATTTCGGTCGATCGAATACAGTTTTGTCTATATCTCTTTCAATTCAAGCATTGCAAGAATAACGTACTTGAGAAATATCACATTTTTATTTGATTGAAAATACCTATTGTTTTTTAATTAATGATTTTTGTTTTTGTTGAAACGTATTTTGATGGTTTCTTGGAGGTATCTGCCAATTTTATGTATTATAAAACCACAAAATTCATCACATTGTTAAACTCTAAATAGTATATCTCATTTGATCTTTTCTAATTAAAAACATTTAAACGTACTTACGTACCTATCTAAAGCATTTATGAATTACATCGAAACATTGAACTGAGTTTACAATGTTAATTGAAAATAACTAATTAACAACGAAAATCCACACTGCTATTATATTATATCTTATCCTGCATATTGTTTTATTAATTTTTATCATAGAAATAAAATACTCTTGTTTTATTATTTTTATCCAGGGATTTTTTTTTCAACTATATTAATGATTTTTTTCATACCCATACGGGCAAACTTTACTCAATATAATATTTGTCTGGATGTGAACTATTTTGATAAGATTAACAATATTTAGATTTACGATTTACGAAACTGTTATAAATTATGATATTATGCATGCGTGAAGGTAGTATAAACTGTACAAAACCTTTATCGGGGCCGCACTTAATGAGTAAATTATTAATTTATGGACCGGAATATATAATATAATTATTATTTATACACGCGCATTGTTACGCCCGTGTAGATTTAATTCGATAGCGAAATCTGTTCACCAGGGATTTTGATTACTTTCTAATATATAGGTAATAATAATACTAATCCACTGCCATTTGCCATAGAAAAACTTTTTGAAAAATAAAATGTAAATTTATTATCATCATTTTATGATTAGTTCGTTCGTTTTAATGAGTTATACTCGAAAGAAATTTTTAATTTAACGAAACCCCAATAAATACCTAAAACTAACTGACCGCGCTCATTCGGCACACTTATAATTTTAAATGTACGTTCATATATTAATCATTATTCAAATGTAATTTTAATTGAATAATATATATTTAATCATATAATACTTGAATGTAATCGTCAATGAACTGTATAAATATTATTATTTTCCTGCGAAATATAAATGAAAGATTAACAATACGAGATTTTTGCAACTAGAACTGATTGTACAAATAATTAAAGATTTGCAATGTTCGTATTTTCTATTAAATAACTGAAAAATAGGTATAAAAATGTGATCCTATATTATTATAAAATATACAATATATATTATATACTGTTAGTTAAAAATATGTGTGACTAACTATTTTTAATCACAGACAAAACATTTTAATTATAATAAATTCAAAAAATCGATCAAAATATTAGCTCTTTAACTAATACATATAATTTGTTACGGTTCTGTTTTATTAAATTAAAATCAATTGTTTTATACGAAATAGCATATGAATCGGTTATTTAGAAAAGGAACATCTCCAGAAATTCAAACAGGAGAGACAAAAAACTTGTTTTGGTGATAACGATCAGATTTTTAAAGGACATGTTCTCTTTTCCAAATAACCCATTCATATAGAATCTTATATTATGTCTATTTCTAATAGGCAATTAAAAACATTTTAAATGTGTATAAAATTAAAATGGATATTTTAAAATCTTAATTTTTTTAGAATTTTTTCATCAAATTTATTGAGATAATTTATGTTAATAGTAGTTTTATGAGTAATTTACTATATAATACAATACGTAAAATTAAAGTTGTATTATCACATAATACATTCCGAGTTCTGTAAATATAAATTACTGTACATGAACATAAAAAATAAAAATATTGGATACTTGTCGGTAAATAATTTATTTTTTTTTCAGTTAAAATGAGGTAGAAAAATTGGTTTGATTTATAACACAAAGTTATGATATCGTTGGTTTTTAAACTGATAAAGCAATATTTAAACCAATTTAAGCCCGAAAAAATTCAAAAATACGTTTCTACTGAAAATTATTCATACATTAATTTCCATAGTCAGATGTTTATAACAACAATATATTGTAATAAAATATTTATTATTATTCAACGTATAATACATAAAAATAGTAATATTAACAAAATATTATAATTAATCTCGAAAAAAAATGTTTATATAAATTTAAATAGAGATATAGATACAAACATTTAAAAAGTATTTAAAGACAATAATATTTTTTTTAACAATTCTTTTAATTTAATTTAAAATAGGTTGTTATTTAAGTTTTTATGTAATAGAAAATTAAAAAAATTAAAATAATCAAATATCGTTAGTTGTTAGATTACCATTTTTATTAGAAGTAGTGTTCTAATCAAAATACTTATGTAATATGCTGATGTCTTAGTTTTGTGTATTAATATTAACATTATCATAATACAATAAAACCAAATTAGAAAAATCAGTGATAATAATGGAGCCACGATATTTTTACTTAGATGTCACTTGGCCAAGTATTTGAATGCAAATTAAGTTGTAGGTATGGTAAATATTTGATTTAGAATTATTTTAATTCGATCACTCAAATACTTTTTATAGCTTATAACAATATTGAAACGTAAAATATAATTAGGCGGGTCATTATCACGATGGTCACAGTGTTTGTGTTTTACGTCTAAGTATCGTTGTTTTATTTTATTATCTGTAAGTTTAGAAGACATGGCTTAACATATTTTTTTGGTTGATCAACAAAGTAAATAATTTATAAAAAAAATATGTTTCGTGATCGAACGACCATGTATGTATAATTTTAATTTTAATATTTATCATTTTCAATCAAGTATTGAAAGAATTAAAAATTTTTAATTTTAAAAATATTATTGAACTTTCAATTAAGTTTTTTGATCGAAAAAAGTACAGCTTACAGGAATTCACGGAAATATTTTTAAATAATCGCGTTAATTATTATTATTATTTTTATTACACACTTATAATTTTTATTTTTATTTTTCTGAAGATGACGTTTTTAGTGAGTGTATGGAACGAGTTAAACATCTATTTCAAAACTATATTATTTAATCTTGAACTATGATTTTTAAATATCGTAGCCTTTACGCGACAATTTTCATTTCTGTACTTGAGAGCATATACATATTGTTTATTATTTTTTTTTTTTTTGTGTTTAGAGTGGCGCGTCATAACATTATCATTCAGTATTAATTTAGCAATATTAAATTTTAGTCGGATTTCAGGTCAAATAATTACTTGCATAGCTATGTAGTATATACGGACGCAGGTACTTACCGATGATATCCCGACTGGAAGCGAAGTCCGCTGCAGTAGGTGGTATACGTTGTACAGTGGCTGTTGCTCCAACGACCGTGATACTTGTGAAATGCCGATCAACTTGTGGCGCTCGTTTATACTCCGCGCGCTGAAATTCGATGGGACTTCGGGGGGTTGGTCGGGCGGATCGTCCACGGCGGTCGGGTAGTGATTGCAGAGGGGGATGATTTTCGTCTACGCCACAACGACAACGCCGCCCGACCAATCGGAAACCGTTGTTGGACGATTCATCCGCACCCCGGGTACAACACGTTAAACCCCCTACACCCGTGTTTGTGTCTACGTCACCAGTCAACTCAGCTAATAATAATATTAATATTTTTTATCACGTAATTATAGCGGCAAATAAACGAATGGATAAATAATATACCTACGGTCAGTATTTCAATTCCTTATGATAGAAAAAAAATGCATTTTTTTTTTTTCAAAAAAATTGTTTTTAAACTCTCCAATTTTCTCTTTAGTCTGAAAATAGTTGTAAAAATTTAAAATAATATATATGAAGTTTTTTATTTTTACTTTTCTTATTGCACTACTATAGTAGTTTTCGACCACTATAGGCTAGTACGTATTTAATACGAAATTCGGATGTGTTTCGAATTTAATGTAAGACTCGTAAAATTTGGTAGTAAATATACACCTTAAGAATTAAGAATGATGAAAATAGAATTTCCGATTTTAAATTCTTCGGCGAATTTAATGGTTTTTTTATTTGGAAAATATGTTATGTTCTAAAATTTATATATGTAGTAGTGTTAAAAAATTTTCCATGGATATTTTAATAAAATTTAAATCATTTCTAAGAGGATAAGGATGGAATTTTTTCGAGTTCCGTTACTATCCAGGTATTTATAAAAAGTTACATATTAATATTACTATATTATGTTTATAAAGATGAATTAGAAAAATGTTTTTGCGTTTGGAAATAAACCAATATCATAAAAAAATAATGTGGGTACCTTATCTTAAAAAAATCATCGTGTCCTCGTCGTACACATTTTTTATTTTATCTCGAGACATTTCTTGGGGCGTGCGAGAACGCTCTGTAACCATCCAGGTGTTATATCGCACGCAATTTTTTGTGAATTGCGTCAAAACCTATTGTTTTTTTTTCCATAAGCTTTGTGAATTTGACATTTAATACGCTTACTTGATAGGTAAGAAAGTAAACAGCGATACACGTGTATCTATACATACATGCTATGTATATTGTCATATGTTTACGTGGTGTAAAGTTTTTCATCGAGGATCATATGTGTATATAAGATTATCGTTGCAATACGAAAATATGATTCCGCCCTTACATTACTGTAGCGGGTGTTGATTTCCAAAAATACACTTATTTTATGATGTATAAAGTTAACTGATAATAAGGAGTGATCCATATGTTCCATAAAACATCATTTAATGTACATAACGTCATATATACGAGTGTATATAAATGATTTTGATTAATTATATATATATATATAATGCAAAAATTCGTTTGCACCAATTATTATTAAAAAAAAAAAAAGTAACTAATATTTGTTCTTTCCAAAATGTATCATTAGGACATACATTTTAGAACATTACATTTTTTAAGTTTGTTATAAAACATAGCTGTTTGAGCTAATAGTTTAAATTATGTGACAATGGATTCTATTATATATTATAGTTACATATGTCTTTTTTTTCAAAAAGACTTGATAATTTTAGAAATTTCTAAAAATGTTAAATGCATGTCATAATGCATAGATGAAAATTTCAAACTAAATGTTTTGAGGATTTGTAAAACATTTTTTAAGGTTTGGATTTAATTGGCAGTTCATAATTTTGCATTGATTGATACTTTAACGCATATAACGCGGATAATGATACAACAACAATAATATAATGTACTCGAATATTTAATGTTTAATTATTCAAATAAATAAATTAATATATAAACAATTTTCATGTTTATACATATACTTATATAGAAAAATATGAAATTTTAAAAACATGAATTCAGAATAAGTATTACATACCTATACATTAAATATTTTTAATTTAAACGCAATAAATAGTAATAAATGTATTAAATTTAAAATAAAAAAAATTGTATTAATTTATTTTTTATAATTTCGTCTTTTAGGGTTGAAAGACAGAATTAAAACAATAATAGTGAATATACGCACAGTACACGCAAACTCTTCGAACAAGAGCACTGTATGAACATTTATTTAAGAAAAATGTATTTAGGTGAAATATTTGTTCAATATTCGATTCATTTCTAAATAACTAAATAATATGGTCTATTTAAATAGTACAAATTAATTTTGACAATTCGGAAATCAACGGACCAGTTTGACTCTGCGTGAACATAATCTAATCTAATACAATATAAGTATAGCCTAGAAATTATATAAAAACATAATCGTTAAGCTAATAGGTTGGGGTTAATTCACTTGCAACGATAAAAATCGATTGTGAACGTTTTTATACATCTAAATTACCCTTAAAGGTATTACCATTAAGTTCGCAATATTTTTAATATTCGAAACGTTGTTAAATATTTATTATTTTCATTATCACGATGCTTAACAGTACACAAAAAAAGCACAAATGCACAAATATACTCATAATAGGAAGAATAGTTTTTGCTAGTTACTCCGTGATTTGCTTAATACATAAAATATAGATAGTATATGTTAATTATAAAATTATGTAATGTATGTAAATAATAATTAGTGTTTGTAAGTTAATAATTTTAGTTTGTGTGTGAAACTATGTCTCATTAAAAAAAAATCTTTATCCTGTTGGAGACTCCCCCCCCCCCCCTCTTCAAACTAAAAACAAAAAATGTTTGCAATTCTACCGGTGAATCGTGAACAAGCCGTTTAATTTAATAAAATCTCAATGTCTTCAGCTGTTGATCCAGAGTTTTGTAGAAAGGTTAAGTTTAGGGTAAAATAAAGTTTGATTATTATGTCGAGCTATGGTCTGAATAAACTTAATACTTATGTTATAATTCAAACAATAATAATAATATTAGCTATATACCAAACGCATCAAATTCACACGAATCGCTTGTTATTAATAATGAAAAGGACGAATTGTAGACTATAGCGATATATTGAAGTGTTACAATAATTCTTATTTACTGAGGGAAAACGTCTATAGATAATAACTTTAATTGTATGACGAGGAGAATAACGCATATGCATTTATGACGGATTTTATTACTTGTATTAAAATAATATAATATTACAATCAAACTGTTATCGTTGTATCGTGTGAACATTTATTAAGTTATTTACTTTACAAATAAATACGACATAATAGTTACTATCGTTAATCAGACTTTATTACATAGAACAAATAATACAAAATAAAAACACTGAAATTGATCGCGAGGAAGTTAAACAAATCACTCGGATAAAATACTTAAATATATAATAATATGTTAATGTTATACACATATAAGGCAATTTCATAAATGGTAAAAATTCTTCTTATTAAAAAGCTTTTTGAAATATTTTTTCAACATAATTTAAAGTCATTATAAAATAAAATTTTTGAAAAAAATTATGTTTTTTTACTAGTTAAATCATTATTATTTTTTAAGTTTTACATTTTTGGATGAATATTTTTTCTAATAATCTTATTAATGCAAATAAATTGATTTGTTGATAAGTTATTTATTAATTAAAATTTATAAATATTTTAAGTTTAGATATGTGGAGAGAGACGTGTCTCTGTGGTGTGCTCAAAATTTAAATTCACTATTTCGTTCATATTAATTTGAAATAATTTTAATTATTAACTACCTAATTAACAACACGATCACTCAAATATACGTACATTTAACTATATTTAAAAATCAATATTTTCATAACATAATAGAAATTCTTTAACATATTCCATAAATTACTTAAAAAAGAAAAATTGATGACAATAAGAATAGTAAGCAATGCCTATAAATTATCTTAAAAAAATCATTTCAAGAATGTTAATACTTTTTCTTAAATGAGTGTTAAATTTAAAAAAATGATTCTGCTCACACAAACACGTGCACACACAAACACATACAGACATGTGTACATATAAATATCTTATTACTATAATAATGTTATAAATATCTAACAATTAAATTCTGCCTTACTCGTTTTATACGCGTTATTCATACGACTGTAATAATTGATTGCTTATTAGTTATTAATAATATAATATTACCATTAAAATTTTAATTTTGCTTTATGCAGTTGAAGTATTAAATCGTTATATTATAGTTAGCAGTACCCATGTGTTAACGTATTGTTCAATTATTAAAATTAATCTATTTAGTATTTATTATTTTATTAATCCATAAATTTGTGTAAACTCTATTTCCTTAGCCGTAAAAAAATTGAATATTATGATATAAAAATAGTATAAAACACTAAAAATTTTGTATTGTGTATACAAATTGAAGTATTTAAAAATATTGGTTAAAAAAAAAAAATAAAAAAAAATTAAATTAAAATAAAATAAAATAAAATTGATACAAGTAATATATAATTTGAGTGACATTAAAAAAAAATGAATGAGACATCATATATGTTTTTAATAACTATATCCTAATTATAACTTTTACTTATATTTATATTATATTTACTTGAATGATTAAAATTGATTAAATAGTGTCAATATTTAAAATAAATATATCATGATTATTGACGGTGTAATAATAATAATTGAAGTATTTAATGACATATGACTGATTATTATTTTGTATCTCTGTATCTTTATTGTATTGTATTGAACGTTAAAATGACGGAAAAATAAACAGTAGCTTCTATTATTTATATACTATTTTATCGTAATGTATTTGGATATTTTTATTAATCTGAATCAAAAGTCAGAAATAAATTTAAAATTTAATTCTGTATTATTTTTTAATGATGGGGATTTGTGTGGAACATCGATGTGGAGTTGACATGGGGTGTATAATAGACACGAGCAGGACTTGTCTCATTGGTCAATTTAAATTGGCAATATGTAGTAAGCGTTCACTGTGATCCATAAAAACGTTTTTTGTTCGTGACGTATAAAATATCGTTACATTA